CCCCTCGGCGGCGGCCTCCCCCCCCCCCCCCCCCCCCCCCCCCCCCCCCCCCCGCAGCAGCAGCAGCAGCTCCAGTCCGCCTCCGCCAGCATGGCCGACCTGCAGCCCGACACGCTCATTCAGTGTCAGCAGATCGTCAAGGTCATCATGCTGGACAGCAGCGGGCACGGACGGGTGGAGGCCTTCCTCAGCCAAACTCCAACGCACCGCCATTACCAGCAGCACCACCACCGCGGCCACCGGCAGATTAGTCAGTCGGCCATGTCCACGCCCGTCCGCTCCCTGGGCGTCAGTGACGGCCACCAGCCGCCGCTGCCTCCCCCGCCTCCGCCTTATAACCACCCGCACCAGTACATACCCCCAGACCCTCGCCTCACCCTCCACAGGACCCCCAGTGACTCTCGGAGCATGGTGTAAATAAATGAGTTAGTATCACGTCACCAAACGCACACTCCTCCATCACCTTTCTTAGCTACGTATCTATATAAATGTACATATATACATACTACTAAATACAGAGCTATAATTAAAAAACACAAAACAAATCACTTATATGCATATTTAAGAAGAAACATAAACAGAAGATAAGGTTTTAAAAGAAGTCAATAAAAATAAATGAAGTGCATATATTATATATATATATAAAAAAAACCTGTACTTGATTCCACATGTATTTTGAAATATGTAGTTTTAACAAATTTCTATAACTTTTTGTCAGTTTTAAACTTCACTAGAAGAAAAACGGATCCGCTGTAGTTCCAGTGTTCACCACCGGTAGGAGCAGAAAAATGTGAAAACCCTCTCGCTTTTCTCCTGCTTTGTGTTTTTTTTTTTTTTTTTTTTTTTGTTAACTGCTCCCCAAATGGAAGCAGGGAAAACAAACCCTCGGTGGAATTTTTCCCTCGCCGTCTGACGTCCCAACGCTCACGCCTACTGTGCTGTACGTACGCATGCAGCGCAACGCTGACACTAGAAAACGAGAAAAGTACCATGTGCCAAAATACTTAGATACATTCATATACACTGCGTACATACAAACACAACTCCTTGCACTTGACTTAAAGCTAGGGCTAGACGAAAAAAAAGAAAGAAAACTCCTGCTCCGCTCACGCTTCTCTTCAGGAGCAGGAACTGATATTTCATTTCTTGTAAAATTAAAAAAAGAAAAAGAAAAAAAAAAAAGCTTCTCCCCAGCTGCGATTGCCCTGATTTTATCAAGAGCTTTCTGTCTTCTTCTCTCCTTCCCCCAACATCCGATAAGCTGTGTTTTTTCATCTGCGTCTCCCTTGTGTCGAGGCTCTTTATCATCAGAAAACACACTCTGTCGGTGGTCGATGGCGAATCACGTGGACTGTTGCCAAACCAAAAAGTAAACCCAGGATCGATTTGTGTTGTTCCTAACTTTTATCCATTATTCTTAGGAATTCTGGCCATATTGATCTGCGGAGCCGAACGGAGGAACTCTACTCTGAATATTTTGGACGCGTTTGACCTAAAACTGCTAGTGAACTTACGTGAAACCACTATACCGCATTAGTCCATGTGTATTTATTATTATTATTATTATTATTATTATTATTATTATAATACTTGTATGTGTGACACACTGTGTTCATCCAGTCTTTGTGAAATGCTTCTTCACATTTTTCAGGAAATCCAGTTGAAGATTTTTTAGCTTTGGGCGTTAAATGTCGACTATTGTTTATTTTCGCGTCTGTATAAATGACGGACTGAGCTTACCCACGAGGCGTCAACACACTGTCTGTGATTGTCGGTGCATCTCCTAAATGGTGTTTTTATTTGTGTTCCTTTTCGTATTTCCTAAGTTACCAAGGCAACAACAAAAAATATCAAGTATTACAACAAGTACTCTGAAGTTTATATAGTAGTAATACTGTATGGCTAAAAATTGGAAAACACCGTCGAGATGCTAAAATAAGACAGAACTGAACAAGAGTTGACCCAAACGTTTAGGTCAGACTCAACATGTTAACTGAAGTTAGATGCTAGGTACTTAAAGTACCTGAACATTAGGTGAAATACGTATATATACTTTAGGCTAAAAGTAGTGTATGAACACGTCAGAGGTTAGCTAATATTCCAGTTTAATGTTAAGAGAAAAATAGGGGTTAAAATAGTGAACGGATAATGCTATATTTAGTCGACATGTGTATGAAGTGAAACGGATAATGCTATATTTAGTCGACATGGCTAAATATAGCATTAGCTTGAAGTTGGCTAGAAGAGAAAAAAAAACGTGCGTTTCTTCAAAAAGAAAAAACGCTCTAGGTCAGAAATATTCCACATGTATTTCGAGAACTAATTTTTTTTTTTAATTTCATTTCATTTTTGGACCTCACAAGAGGAACTGGATATGAATTCAATCTACAACAGAAATAAAGACAAAATGGCTAACATAACATGCTAGCAAAAGGATAAAAAGATTTCAGCCTGTTCCAAATACTACTGCTCCCTCAGTTGTCCTTTATATTTTATATGTTATCTAAGAGGTCACCAGATCATCATCTTCTAAACAGCGGGGAGAGTGGAATGATTGTTGGGTTAGCGCTAATCTCTAATCTCTAATCTGACCTCCGTCCTTCTGACCTGATGATTTATAGAGTCACACCACTGCAGGGATGTCTCTGTCTCATCTCTCTGTCCTCTCCACATTCACTCACTGAAAAGACTGTTGGTTCACTTTGTGTGTTAGCTATGTAGCTATGACATTTTAACACTCACATTACCAAGGTAACTGCAGTATTATTAATATTTATGGGAAAATGAAATACTTGTCAGTTTGATTAGCACAACTTTTTAAGGGTATTAGCTTTTGGCTAACTGTTTTGGCTACCCATAGTTGTTTCTTAATGGTTGGGCCAATTGAAATGATTAGCATGCTAAAATTAGCTATTTTGCTAACATTTGCTTTTCTTAGCTAATGTTTAGATACTTTGCTCTATATTTGCTAACATAACTACTTGGCTTTTCTTTGTAAAACCAAGCTTTTAGCTAACTCTAAACTATTAATCTTTAAACTGTTTAGCTTAGCTTAGCTGTGCCTGATGAGAGATGCTTCAGGGGTTCGATTGTGTAGCATGTGATAGACAAAGAAAGAAATACCACCAACATTTTTGCTTAATAAATTCACACAGAATGTAAAAGCCTCAAGGATGATATACGGACAATTTTAAATATTTTAAGGTTTTTTTTTGTCAGGTTCTGATTTTTTTTTCTTTCTATTTTGGAATCCAACTACGCCCCCTCTAGTTGACTTTGATGTCATTATCAATTGAAATGTTTCATTAGCCATTTATGAGTACACATTTGAACACATAATAAACTCCCAAGTCTATGATAGTTTCTCATTTGATAATTTAAATCTAAATTAAGGTTCTAGTAGTTTTTCCTTCCTGTGCATGACAGCTGTTTGGAAGATATTTGATACTTGTTTCTCGGTGCATGGATTTGCTTTGAGCACAGTAGCAGGAGTTGAATGATGAAAAAAAATTAAAGTCTTATTCATGATGGACGCCACAAAACAAAATATGCCGTTTTTGACCCGATGCGGGACAAATCGGACTTGTCTTTCCTCAGTTCTGTTTGCCGTGTCTTTGTGCGACTGCACTGTTTTTCCTACTTGACAATGTGTTGAAGCGTTTCGGGTGATTAAAAATGCAATTGTTTTTTTTTGTTTTCTTTCTTCTGTGCGTTAAGAGCACACGTGTGAGACGTGTTAATGAGAAACCCTAAGATTACTTTGGTCCGAAAGGAGATAAATGTAGCATAACTGTAGAGCGGACTTTGATGCCACAGTGCTGTAGTGTGTGCTGAGTGAATTTTGAAAAAGGGCTCTGCCATATCAGTGCACTGCTTCATGAGTGACGATCACCCGGCTCGTCGACACTGTGTTTGCTCACACGTTTGGGAAAAAAATGGGACGTTTTAAAAGTGAGTGTAAAAGTTCCATCACTTCTCTCAGTGGATTCTGAGTCCCTGTCTCCCTGTATATCAACATGCTATTAAAGATGATTTAAGTCTCGTCACCACAGTCATCAGCAGTGATTCTTGGACTGGACCGAGTTTACGATTGGAATGGTTTATATTTTGATTAAGAATGGGAGCAGTGGTAATATCGTCAGCATATAGTGTAATCTTTCATAGTAAGTCAAAAAACATTTTTTAGATGAAAAGCTAAATAGGAAGTTATGTGTGGCTAAGAGAATTTAAATGATGATGTAAGGGATCCACACTGACCCAACCCAAGAGTTTTTATTTTATTTTATTGCTGTATATTTGTTGTGTTGACCAGGGAGAAAAAAACAAACATTTCTAGGACACACTTTATAATTAAAACAGCCAATTAATATTCCTTTTCCATCCGTGCCAATTGATACGAAAACCACTTTGATCTAATTAATCAAAAACAACCTTTATACCATAGCCATTATATTTACATATATTTAAATAATACAATATTTTTCTAGGTTACACATCTTTACAACGTCACTGGAAATTTTATTTTTTATTTTTTTCAGGAACTCAACTGTGCAACATTGGTTTACACTGACGACACTGATTTTGTGCATGTTGCCTACGAGTCAACACACGGGGCAAAGACTTACAGTAGCAGTAATTTAAGTGTGGTTTATGTACAAAGGGCAATGTGGAGCTGACGTTTCATCTAGAGCACAGACTTTTTTTTAACCACACAAATAAATAATTACCTGTCTAACGTCAAGTCTTAATATAAATTACTGTAGATTCCGTTTTGCTCAATTGCCATTTCAACACCGTCAGTGTTTCTGTACAACCGTAGGGAAACGGCAGCGAGGATTCTCTGAGCTGAACAATCCTGTCTAGACGGGAGCTTCGCCCACGCTCCCTGTGTTTGTAAATGCTTCATGCCCCGATGGCTTTTCGTCCTGGGAAGTTGTCATCTTCCGCCAACGCTGGTCAAGTAAACAGAGACACCAGAGTCAGAGCAGTTGTTTTTTGTTTTTTTTTCTAAGACTGTTCTTAAACACTGGGGGCAGTACCTGTTTGACGGTGCCTTTGGTGGAGCAGAACATGTAGATGGCGTAGCCTGGGACTAGAATCATGGAGGACAGAGCCATGAACCAGCCAATCACCTGTCCCCACAGGGGGTAGACGTACTTCCCCAAAGTCAAAGGTGTCATCTCAATAGCACTGAAGGTGAACACACCCTAAAAATACATTATAAAAAACATGTATATAAATCGATTTGAAGTAAAATTCTATATCAGGTATTCCAAATCTCTGGATTGGGGACCAACTTTTGCACTTGGTTTGCTTTTATGTGGTCTGTCTTTGTTTTCTTTATCAGTTCTTATTGATTTTTCTTTCTCTAGTTTTGCCTATGTCTGAGATTATAATAGTTGTAGAATATTTTAAGCACCTCTTTTTTGGCCATTTTTGGCTAGTCTTTAGCTAATGCCTCCCAAAATGTTCTTATGTAAGCTAACTTTTTGATTTTGTTTTTTTTCTGACTAACCAAAGCGCACTGGAGGAGAAAAGCTATCGGACTGATATTGGTATCGACAGATACTCCAAGTTGCAGTATTGGTATCTTACATGAAAAGGTTGTATGTATTTTCTTTTTATCTTTATATAGAAACTAGCTTGTAGCAGTTAGCATCTTGATACAGTAATGTTTATTAGCATTGCAGGTATAGCTTTGTTAGAATTATTTGTTTCTGTTAAATTTTAAGTTTTACAAAGTTTTTTGAGAAATACTGTAAAGTAAATCAACACCTTTTTGGATGTGAGTTTTACTCATTTTTAGTTAAATATCCTGTAATCCAGTAAAATCAACTCCCTCTAACATTACTCCATCACTACAGTGCAGCAGAGACCACCATGATTCCCCCCAGGGCCTCGTAGTGACTGGTAGTCCATGAGATGGAGTGCGAGTCACTGACACAGCAGAGGAAACCATCCACCGAGGAGAAGGAAGTTCTCCGCTGTGTTGGAGGAGAAAAAAGAACAAACCAATATGGTGTTGGTAAAAATCAATGACCCTTTCCACGCCTACCAGGCAAATGAGCGGAGTAAAGAACATCCAGCAGAGCTTCCACCAGACGCACGGTCGATAGCCGATCATGTCTTCGATGTCCTGGTAGAACCTTTCAGCTCCTGCGGAGTTAAGGAGGAGAAGAAGATGGAAAAAATGGCAAAAAGAGTGAAAACAACCGATTGATTTTCCCTGTTCAGTGGATCTCACCGTAAAACCAAGCTATGGAGACTGTTTCGAAGAAGACGAGGTAGAGCAGACACATGCCGCTGGCGGAGTAGTAATCAAAGAGTTTGAACACGTACAGGCCTCCCTGGAAGATTTGAACACACACACACGGTGGCTGCATATTAACAATCCCCGCCGTTCATTGACTAAAATATGCATGATGAATGTACACCCCAGGTTGGAGTCAGATTGCTTTGTCATTATGTAAAAATGCAGCAGGAGGTAAGAGCCTCCAACTTGTTCCAACACCAGTCACACACAGACACATCCTGCAGTATTAATTAACCACACGGAGCTGCTGCTGCTGCTGCTGAAACCACCAGACCTTTGGCTCCGTCTCCACATTCAGTTAACGCTGCAGAGACGCTGGAACTGCAGACCACGTCGCGCTTCACATTCGTATAAAAACCTGAGTGACGTTGGAGAAGCCGATGATGAAGGAGATGAAGCAGACGATGAGGATGAAGACCTTCTTCCTCCTCCTCAGCACACGGGGATACTCGTCCATCAGAGCCGTGATGAAGCCTTCCACTGTGCAGAACTGATTTGCGATATAATCGTTGAAACACTGACTGGAGTGTAACAAACGAAAGAATGGAAAATCTCAGAGATGTGCTGTGAATACCTGACTGTCCAGGCCCAACATCATCAGCATAGAGAAGAAGAGAATGGCCCACAGAGAGGACATGGGCAGCTGAGTGACCGCCTGAGGATAGGCCAGAAAAGCCAGACCTGGACCTATAGGTCAAAGGTGATGGCAAAACAAAAAGTGAATTAAATTTAAAATTAAATGAAATACAATAAAAACATAGTCAAGGCTAAAATGGCTAAAATGTATGCCTAAAAATACAACATATTAATTAAGTTTGCGTTCAAAAATCAATTAAAAAAACATGACATTTAGATATATTTAAACTAAAATTATTCAGAAACTAGGAAAAAGTATATGTTAATCATGTTAATTAACAAGTGACATTTGAACCCGTGGGCGTTGTTCTCATCCCACCATTTATCCTGGCTTAAATACACAATCAATGGACATTTTGTTATTTGGACACCCTGTGGGAAAAAAGTTTCCATTTTACCCAAGCATTTCTTGTTTTAATTGGGATTAATCTGAAACTCCTGTGATTAATCAGAACAAAAATTGTTGACATTGCTAGAAAAATCTGAAGTGTAAAAAAAATACCAAAACATATATTTTATAAAAATCATTACAGAAAAAATATGGATAGCATTAGCATACGGAATTTACTCATACTGAATTGTAGAAAATGTAACTACAGTACAGTTACAATTCCTTAGATGTCCACTTCAATGTCAAGGTCAAACAGGTCAACGTTACCTGAGGCTGCTAACTCCTTCACAGGTTTCTTGGTGATGTACGACATGAACCCCACGATGGAGAAGATGACAAACCCAGCGAACATGCTGGTGCAGGAGTTGATGCAGCAAACAATGATGGAGTCCCTGAAGAAAGAGCAGCAACAAAAGTCATTATAAAAGAAACCGGTACCCGAAAAAAAAAACCATAAAGGGCGTGACCCTACTTGTAGACATCGTTGTTGTAGGAGTTATAGCTTCCCAGTGCGATGAGCGAACCCAGGCCCAGACCGTAGGAGAAGAAGATCTGAGTGGCCGCGTCCAGCCACACCTCTACTTGTAGACGTCGTTGTTGTAGGAGTTATAACTTCCCAGTGCGATGAGGGAACCGAGGCCCAGACCGTAGGAGAAGAAAATCTGAGTGGCCGCGTCCAGCCACACCTGTGGGACAACAAGTACCATTAAAGAATCGTCCCTGTCTGTGTCTCTGTCTCATAACATCTGAGACCGCATTCACCTCGGAGCTGATGAGTTTATTAAAGTCTGGGGTGATGTAGAAGAGGATGCCGTCGATGGCTCCGGGCAGAGTGACCCCTCGGAAGAAGAGGATGAAGAGCATGAAGTACGGATAGGTGGCAGAGAAGTACACCACCTGAGAGAACGTCAGAAGATTACACTTTTATATTTTCACTGTCACGCAATCTGATCTGAAGTGCAAAACCAGCAAAAAAATGTTTTCCTTGTGTCTGTGCCAGTTTTTTTTTTTTTTTGCTTTCAGCTAATGACAAGTGCAGAATCAAAGAAAATGTAGCACATAAATATGCAGAGTCTTGTTCCTGTCATGGTTGCAGAATGTAAAAATACGCCGCAGCTGTTAATAATTTCCGTGGGTTCTCGTCGCCACAGGATCTCATCAGATGTTTGCGATGCAGCTCGTGGTTTTGATGCATGTTGTTTTGTCCTCACGTCTCACGTTCCCGCTCACATACATCACTTCAACTTGTAATTTTAAAAATCCCAGACAGCAGCCGACACCAGACAACGATTTTATTTATTTATATTTTTTTCATCCGTTGTCTTTCCTTCCTGTCATCTCTGAATGGGTTTTGCAATTTGGGATTACAATAATACCTCTGAAACTTTTTTTTCTACTTCTCTGCCACGGTGAGATGTCGAGGGAAACGATTGGTTGAAAATAAAAGAACGACGGATAAAAACAAAATCAACACCTGAGGAGAATGAATAAACACTGATGTTTAGTTCTAACAGAGTTAACAACTTTGGAACCGAGGGAGAAATAATGTCTAGAAACACAAGTTATGCAAGATATGTCCAAACTCTGGCTCGGGGGCCACTTGTGGCACTTGTGGAAACGTGTCATGGCCCGAGTATGTAACCTTGTTCAGCCCAACACTGGGCTTTACACCGTGTTTTATACGGCCCACAACGAGGTCAAATAATTTGAACTTCTTTATTTCAATTTAATGCGTTAACAGGAGATGCCACGTTTTGAAATGTACCTGAAAAAGAGTGATGGAAGTAAATGTTCAACATTATGATCGCCTTTCTGAAAATGTACTGCTTTTTTTCCTCAGTGAATTGAGAAAAGCTGATAAATGACATCCAAGTCTAGCTGAGGAGTGATGAATCATCAACGCACCTCCTGATCAATAACTATGAAGCCCGAGGAGAGATTGGTTTAAAATGCACATTTATCATTTACCGAGTTCGCAACTTAAGGTGGCAACAACACAGAACTGGTGAAATGTCGTTACTCATGGAAGCATTTAGAACAGCTAAGTGGATGAAGAGCTGCTAACTGTGCATACTAATGCTGGGCTAGCATACACCAGTGGGGCTCTCGCTTTTACGTCTTAGCTAATTATGCTAATGTGCTAATTACGGCTCACTGGGATCAACACACGGGGCTGTGGAACATTAGGTAGCTGTGAAGTGGTGCTATTAGCATAGCAAACAGGCACGGAGTAGCTTTATTATGTCCATTATCTCTGCTGCTGGTGTTAGCATGCTAATGTTTGTGTCCAGGGTCTGAGAGCGTTTGGGAATTTTCATGAGTACTAGTGAAAAAAAGTGAAAACTGATCAGGGTGTCATCCCAGCCCCACCCACTGACTGACTGCAGTAGTAGTAGATCATTTGGGAATTTTCATGAGTACTATAGTGAAAAAAAAATGTTTTAAACAATTATTACACTTTAATTGTAATTGATGAACTGATCAGGGTGTCATCCCAGCCTCGCCCACTGACTGACTGCAGTAGTAGTAGAAGACAAGATGGCTGACCTTTCCTGTCCACTCCACTCCTTTCCAGATGGAGAAGTAGACCAGGACCCAGGCCAGGGCCAGGGTGCCCACCAACGGCCAACGTACTTCCCCTGGTTCCTCCAGTCCACTGGAGAGCTGGTGCATGTTTCGTCTACAGGAACACACACACACACACACACAGCGTTTGGGTTCACACACACCAGTGTTTCAACATTTCCATAAGGTGATAATCACACGCCGCTCTCTCTTACTCCCAGAACTCAGTGACGGCGCTCGTCAGGTTGGTGGTGTCTTCCAGACTGTAGTTGGAGAAACAGTTCTCCGTGTTCCAGTCATTGTCACAGCTTTGCCAAGGCAGCTCCTGCAGACACCAGCATTTACACCAGATACATGTAATATACCAGCCAAGCTTTGTATTTCATCTGTTTTTTATTTACTTCTCTGAGGTTCGGTTATTGAACTGAGTGGTTTTCAAATTCTACAAAGACTCGTCAGAGAAAAAAGGACAGAAAGACAGAGAGAGAAAACTATTTAACAGTGAAAACTAGACTTTTAAAATTTTAATTTATAAAATCAACTCACTCAATTCAATCTGTTTATTTTCCAAAGTTTGGTTGGTGGTCACTTAATTCTCCAATCCTCACACGAATATGGACCTTTAAATACTGTCAGGAAGCTGTTTGTTTTGAGAGACTGTGGTAATCCACTAAATCTGGCCCACATTCTCAGGACGTGGGCCACTGAAGGTCCTTAAATTAAACCAGACCATTTTCTTTTTAGCAGTGGCCTACATTTGCTACATTTCGCCCGAGCAAAAACAACTCTTCAACAATTCTGGACCCCAGATTTGGCCCACAAATAGATAGACTTGTAGATTAATTAAATGAGCTGCAATGCTGCCATCTAGTGTCTTTCACTTTCACATACAGCTGTTTAGCCCCAAAACTATTTTTAGGGCACACATCATTTGGCGAAACCCAGGCCTTGCTTTATCGGGTTATCAGATAATGATTCCTACAGATATTAAATAATTATGTTAATGTCGGCACGATAATATTGGCTGGCTGATATTATCGGACATTCCTATTGGTGAGGCTTCAGGAATAGAAACTAACGGTCATCACTGGAATGTAACATACCGATCGAAAAGAGTTGAAGAGGTAGTAGAGCGCCCAGGCGATGATGATGATGTAGTAGATGTTGAGCCAGAAGGACAGGATCACCGAAGCCAGACCAACACCTGAAGAAGAGGTCAAAGGGTCATTTCACAGGGTCACATTTAAACAGGGTCACACGGGTCCTGAGACAGAAACTGGATCCAGGAGCAGATTTCACCTGAGTGAGAAATTAAAATCTTAATTAGTGGGTTTATCCTCGTCGTCATCTGCAGCAGCAGCTTCATCATTTTGCGAACGTTTCCTGTTGCCTTTGCCTTAATCAGTTGGCACAGGAGCAGAGCCGCCATCTGTGCCGGCAGGAGATCAAGTGTGTTTCACTTAAGCAGAAGAAAGTTGTCAACAACAACAACAACAAAAAAAAGGAATTTTCTTTCTTCTCTTCTTCTTTCTTGTTGTTGTTTTTATCTTTGTTGCCTCTGTTTCCTCCACACTCTGGTAACTTTTTTATCTCCAGAGTCTGACAACAAAGATGAAGAGACGACGACCTGTGGTCACAGACATACAAAAAAAAGGAACAGACCCAATCTGGAAAGAAAAATGATGAGTTTTGTCTCTTTGGAGTTTTTTTTTTAATTTTTTTTTATTTTTGATGTTTTCGTTGTGATCTAAGTGCTTCTCCCAAATCATATTTTGTCTCTTTTTGTCAATTTTCTCACAGTCATGGGGAATATTGTTACAATTCATTAGGAACCGTGTGGGATTCATTTTATTACATTTTTTATCATACTAAAAGAATAAAATATATATTTTTATTTGTCTAACCCAGACATGGGCAAACTAAGGCCCGGGGGCCGGATGCGGCCCATTTAACTTTTTCACCCCTGGTCAAACCCTTGTTTTATGCATTTTTATGCTCAACTGTACGTCCTTCATTTCTATCATCTCACCTTTCATCATGGGCAGCAGTTTCCAAACTCCCAGTCCACCCACTGAGGTGAACTGACCCAGAGATGTCTCCAGTAAGAAGAGAGGAATGCCAGCAAACACCAGAGTCAGAAAGTACGGGATCAGAAAAGCTCCTGAAACAAACACACACACCACAGACAGACGCATGTAAATGTCCTGTTTCTAACCCCGTCCAATCAGATTTCTTTATTTAACGAGATTCCTTCAACACAGCTGTTGAACTGGGTGTAATCCGTCCAACCTCACCTCCTCCGTTCTTGCCACAAAGATAAGGAAAGCGCCACACGTTCCCCAAGCCGATGGCATATCCCACACACGACAGCAGAAAGTCAAATTTTCCCTTCCAGCTCCCCCGGTCGGGCACATCGTCTTTCTTCTTTTTGACAGCAGGGGGCGACGCAGGACCCACTTCCTCAAAAGGAACTGCTTGTTTGACCTCTGTGGGAGAGTTCAAGTCCACTGTGCTCTGTCCAGTTTTCCCCATTCTTGGAATTTCAACAGAGCTTCTGGTGCCGAGAGTCTGAAGAGTCTGTCCCTGCAGCCGAGAACCGATTCTTCTGCTGCTGCTGTGGACGCTGCCTGCAAAGACTGAGCTCCGTGGACATATGTGAGAGAAAGATTCTGTTAGTGGTTTTTATCAAAGCTCTGTTTTTGTGTGACTGACGGACTCTTTGTTCACAAATCAATCTACCAAATACACAAACATTCACCACCTGCAGTTTTATATCCTGTCTTATCCTGCCTTTAAAATATGTTTCTAAAGTACTAAACTGTTTAGGCTATCGTTTAGCTCCTTCCTGGCTAACCTGCACCTGTGGTCAAGTTTTGGCCAAACATGACTTTGTTGTTTTATTTGTTTACCTTATTGTTGACAGTTTTACATTCAGTTATTTTTTGCAGCAAATGTTTAATGGGTTTTTAGCTGATTATTGAAGATAGTTTTTTTTGTTCTAATTTAAAATTATTTTTTATTAACCAATCCCTTAAGTAACTTAAGAATGAATGCAGCTCAATAATGTTAATATCACTGTGTGGTAATTTCTTTGACTTTCCCCAGTAAAGAAATAATGGACTAATATAGGACTATATACGTATTTGTTAAACCCATCGTACAGCTTGTCCTCGTGGCGTCACATGGTCACTGAGTTTAGACATTGGGAGGAAATTGTTCGTGTGACAGTTTTCATTGATTGACCCAGAAATTGTCTGAATCACATCCGTGCTGTTGCTTCCGTTTGATTACAGGCCCTGACATTTGTTTGTACATCCATCCATCCATCTATTCATCCAGCCGTTAATCCAGCCATCCATCCAACCATCCATCCATCCAGCCGTCTGTCCATCCATCCACCCATCTATTCACCCAGCCGTTAATCCAGCCATCCATCCACCCAACCATCCATCCATCCTTTCATCCATCCATCCATCCAGCCGTCTGTCCATCCATCCATCCATCTATTCATCCAGCCATTAATCCAGCCATCCATCCAACCATCCATCCATCCAGCCGTCTGTCCATCCATCCATCCATCTATTCACCCAGCCGTTAATCCATCCTTCCATCCATCCATCCATCCAGCCGTCCATTCATCTTTTACCATTTATTGGCCCAGTCGGAGCTGCAGCCAAATCCAACAGAAAAGGTGAGGCACTTTGGTTAAGTCAGCAGTTTTACTTTTTTTTTTTTTTTTTTTTTGATGATAGTGGAACCTATTTTCCTGAATCCCATCTTTAAGATTAAAGTTGTGAGTATGACTATAAAGTCATGCGGTATGAACCTCGATGGAGGCAAAAGCAGAATGGAAGTCAAGTTGGATTAAATCTGAGCTCTGAGTTGATTTATTCTGAGAAGTGAGTTTTAAAAAAAAGCATGAAATCTTCTGAGATCAGTCAGAATTCTGAAATACTGAGATAAGTTCACATACTTTGATCCAGGTCTGAGATCAAACCAGCAGAGATCAACAAAATAGAAACATATTAGACTTAATACTGATATCATTTAAGCAAATATTTAAGTATAATAATAACATTTTTAATTTTTAAAAAGTTTAAAAATGTTTTCTCAAAAGTAGGATCACAGTATTAGAACAAAGTAGATCTTACCTGGAACGATTCAGGAGTAATCTTCACGTCTTTAGCTTCAACGCTGCCATCATAAAAGTTAAAACATTTCAAATCACTTCCCCAAAATGAGGCAAAAAACAAACACAAAAGTCTAACGCCGACACCACAGGCCCGCAGGAAACCACAGTACAACAACTCCCACTGTGTGAAAATCCGTTTGTGCCGCCGCGCCTCGTCCCTGGAGGAGCCTGTGGTTGGTATCGAGTGGTGGCTAATAAAGTTCGACCTGTGTGTCTACTTTGATTGCAGCTCTCTCCTGACCACTGAGGCCCCGGGGCCGTGGGGGACACAGTACGTCAATCGGCCGATTCTGGTGGAGGACTCTCCGTTCAGCACCAGTGTGTGTGTGTGTGTGTGTGTGTGTGTGTGCGTTTGTGAGTTTGTGTTTGTTAAGTTTATCTCTTGCCAGCTTCTGTTACCATGGCGATTCTCAATAAAGGGTCCGAACTGTGAAAGGGCTCGTGGAGATTTTAGGAAATTGGAAGAAGCAGTGACTGTTGGAAAAGAAGGCGGAAAAGAATCTCATACTGACGTTAATACAGCATTAACACCATCATGACATGATGAGGAGTCATTTATTTAGTTCAGACCACACACAGGCATGATTCAAAAAGACTGTGAAGTGGTAACATATGTAGCATTTTGAATCATGACCCAGGATATTTAATCAAAAAAGCTTTTGTTACCTTTTGGCTAACATTAGGCTTCCTTCCCAAATAACTTGTAGCTTTTAAATTTGAACAATTAAAAAGTAGTTAATGAATTCTATTCCCTGGTTTCGTTTAACTGTCTGTAGGCTGAGCTAAGCTATATTGGGTTATTGGGTATGTTTTGGCTCTTTTGCTCTTTTATTATTTATTTACATACGTTAGACTTTTTCTTTACAAACTATTTACAAATATAAATGGAATAACATCTAACTATATTTTGGTTTGGGATTTTTATGACTAGTTGTGTTGCATTTCTGGAAGTTTCTTGGCTTTATGTTTGGCTATTTTTATTTTTTTATTTTTTTTGCTTCTCATTCATAACGTTTGGTGGAGGTTTAGCATTGCTTTAGCATTTTCTTTAGCATTTTCTTTAGCATGTTCAGCTTTTTCTTGGCTAAACCTCAACTTACCTAGTAGTTAACTACATAACCTCATCTACTTTTTTTCTTATCTTTTTCTATTGTGGTGAGAAATGTTGTTCACTTTTTGTGTCAGCAACTTATGTTCAAAGTCAGACTTTACAGTCACGTTCCATAATGACGTCAGTCTCCATAATGACCGGGTCATTTCAAATGAATATGAAGTTGTAAAAAGTAAAATTAAAATCTCTCGTCTGACAAAAGACATTTTATAGTCGCAGCCTCATTTTCCATTTGTCTTTTTCATTTGTTCCAGTGACATTTAAGCAATGGCTTCGTTGATATTCACAGAATCAGATATGAGTCACGTGCTCTCTGCTGTCCCTGGTGGCAGGTGACCTCCTCACATTAATACCTGCCCCTGAGATCCCATCAGCGGCCAATTAGAATGACTAATGAACACCGTACTCGCACCGCCGTTGGTCTGCTGATCGCCCGGACAGATAGCGGATATTAGGCTTCATATGTGATAAACTATATTATATTAGAAGCTTAATTAAACCTCCAGTGAGTTGTTTAAATAATTAAAAAAAAAAAACAGATTAAACGTACTGTAATTTCTGGACTATTGAGCGCACCTGAATATAAGCCGCTCCCACTAAATTAAAAAAAAATAATAATAATTGTACATATATTAATAATTGTACATTTATAGTTGTACGTTGTAACATGGAAAATTTTCATTTTTAATTAAATAAATGGTTGTACGTTGTAACATGGGAAATTTTCATTTTTAATTAAATAAATGGTTTTTTTTTTCCGAACAGTGCCTGTAACACGTCTGGTCACACATTAGCTGTTTCCTGACCAAAGTTAGAATGCACAGGGGAGACTTAGTGATCTCTTTAAGACTCTTTAGCCTTTGCTGGATGCTCCTTTTATACCCTGGTTGTAATTTTATTGTATATTTAAATTAATTTCATTAAAATGATTAGTAAACTGCCGCATATTTTAAATATATATATATAAATTTAAATCTAGTACATTAGCCGTATTGAATCGTATTTATCCCCAAATCTAGTCTTCGTTTGTCATTAAGAACAATCCAACACCTTCCATGCTGCTGATTTACACCTGTGATTTTTCCTCTCAGGGCTCTGAGATCAATGTGCGAAAGAGAAAACGATGTTTGTAAGGTGTTACATATTGTTCTCACGCCAGAGTTAATCTTTTATTGTTGGTGTTGTTGTTTTCGGACTACAGAATTTACTGGAGGCTTCTGAGACTTACCGATCCTGCAGGCCCCGAGATAGAGAGCGTCGGAGCGCGGTCATTTGTATGCATGAGCCTCGGTCCTGTCACTGTGTAATGAATGCCCACAGCAACGAGAATATCATTCCTCAAAAAAGCAGAGCAGTGGCTCGTGTGAGATATTTCTTCTTTATTTATTTAATTATTTATTTCCAAAAATGCTAAACCGCAGCAATTATCAATATTTATTCGGACTCCCATCTCCCCACGTGTATCATGCTCCGTTAAAAAGTTCAGCGACAGGGAGTGTGCGTCATTTGTTCTCTTCTAATGGAGTGAACAGATAATGCTGCATAATGATACCGAGAGGAAAAAAGTTTTACATAAAAACTTCTATCATTAATTAAACTGCAAAGTCTGGTGAAGGGCGCTAACGAGGAAAACAGCAGTGGTCGTCATTTACATAAGGATTATAAACTCATGCATCACGCAGGAAAATTAAGTGTTTGAACTGGGGCTGTAAAAAAATCAATGATTAAATTACAGAGTGGGAAAAAAAAAATCAAAGCCTGTATTACAGAACTTGTTGTTGCTCTAACACAGTGTTTTATATCTATATATTTATTTATCTATCTATCTATCTATCTATATATATATATATATATATATATATTATATATACATTTATATGTATATATAAGTTTTAAAATAACTATAAACCGTACAACTTGTGAACTGCCGTAATCGTTAGATTTTCAAGTTTCCCATGGTACCTGAACGCACCTCGTGTGACGGCTGCAACTTTAGCATGAGGACATCATAATCTGTAGACCTGGCAGTTTGACTCGGCTATCGAGCTGCTCTAACCCTCAAGCTAGCTTGTAGCTAGCTAGTGCATGTTTATTAAAACTGTTCCTATGCTATACTGGAAAAAAATTACATGAATGCAATACAAAAAACAATAACATCTGTGTATATATAAGTTTTAAAATAACTATAAACCGTACAACTTGTGAACTGCCGTAATCGTTGGATTTTCAAGTTTCCCATGGTACCTGAACGCACCTCGTGTGACGGCTGCAACTTTAGCATGAGGACATCATAATCTGTAGACCTGGCAGTTTGACTCGGCTATCGAGCTGCTCTAACCCTCAAGCTAGCTTGTAGCTAGCTAGTGCAAATTGTGCCAAAACAGCAGACCAACAGCCCTGCTGTGGAGGACTCTGTTCTCTGGCATCTAAAAAAAAATAAAAAAATAAGAGGCAGCATACATACAATTATTATCGAATAGTGAATATGAGAAAGAAAATAGATTCTAATTTAGGATTCATTTAATTTTTTGTAGCATTTTCTTTGGGTGTGGAAAGCGGACATGGAAAAATTTGGGAATCCCTAGTGACTAACATACACAAGTTGCTGTAAATCCATCAGTAGAGCTCTGGCATTCTAAGAGTGTTTCCTATATTGGTTTTATGCCCTTAATTAAGACAAATCCAATAATCTTTATGAGAAAAATATGACGCAAGTGTTATGTTAATTATTATATATTTTTTCCATGATAACGCAAAAACATAGCATCTGTATAGCATTTAGAAAATATTTTTGTCAATGTTGGATTATGAGTTTGCTCGTTTGTGTATATATGTATGCATAAATATATACACACATATGTATATATGTAGATTCTGGGACACTTGTCTAACCCAAAAATATGTTTTTTTTTATAACCATTAATGATGACAATGACACATCACAGTTTAAAAGTACTGTAGTCTTAAAATATTTTTGGTTTTGGCATGTGCTCTTGTTTTGAGAGAATGTGATATCTATGATGTCCTGACAGGACATTATGCTTGACTCATTGAGGCTGGTTGCACTTTTTTAATATTATTCCAAGCTCAGACTGACTCTGGTGGCAACAGTGCCAGGGAGACAATTATGAAGATTTAGTACAGAGTTGAGATTGGAAGCTTATGTTCCACCAAGGAGAGGGATTTCTCTGGATTCTGTCTCTGCTCTACATTTCACAATCCCTTCAGAGGACAGGACAAAGACCTCTAATCATGTTAGGCAAAGTAACTTCAGCAGTCACCAGTTTCAGGCCTTTTCATCATCTGTACAGGCAATGGCTTAACAGTGATTCGAAAGTAATGGCGGTTACATATTCTAGTTGACCTTTACATTCCTTAAACATTCTGCCTTCTGTGTTTTAGTCATTATTTTTCACCTGGTTTTGTTTAAGTCGGGTGTTCCAAAAGTAGCAGTAAAATTACCTATTCCCGAAACTATCGTAGCATAACTTGCACCAGCCAAAAATGCATAATGTAGAAGAAAAAACCCCCAAAACGTATATTGGTACGCTCCAGAGCATAAGTCGCACCAGCCAGCTAGAGTGCCCTCTAGTGGCTGTCAGTGTGTAAATAACTTTCATCTTTTTTTAAAAAAAACTTTTTTAGGTTTTAGTTTTTCACAGCTAAATCATTTGTAAATTATTTGTATGTTTGTGTTTTTCACTACTAGTTTTTTTTTTTTTTTTTTGGCTCATTTTGTGTTACTGTACATTGTACCTGACAACAGGCTAATGTTTGTGCTAATGCTAATGTGGTCATATTTCTCTCCTATCTTGAAGCTCGCTTCCGGCTCACTTTTAGATTAGTTTACCTAGTATTTTGCCCAGTTTGATATATGTTTAGCTGGCCTTTTTGTTTAGCTAATTTTCCTGCTACACAGCTTTAACATTTATTAATTTTCTGGCAGAAAGACATGAATTATTAAAACTTTAATTGTCTGAGCGAATGTAAACAGACTTTTGGCTAACTTTCATTTAGTTTTGTGCTCTTACAATTACTATTTCAGATCTAATTTTTTAAAAATCATTAGCAACTTTAGCATAAAGCTATATTTTGGACTTCTTAGTAAATATTTTGACCTCATTAACATTTACATTAATGGCTTCCTTTTTTATAGTTTTATACCATCATTCTAACAGAAAAACAGTTTGCATCTTAGCAACTTCCCAACTAACTTTTATTTTTTCTCCATCTTATTAATATTTACAATTTAATGAGCTTTTTTTTTCATTTCCTGAGCTGTTTCTGACTTAATGTTTAGCTCACATTATTAAACTTAAAATCAGACTCTTGTGTCTATCTTTTTTATTAGCCGTCAGTTGATTCACCTGTGCTGACGACCTGACTGAGGAGAAGTGTCAGATACACCTGTGTTTCACCAGTGATGCCTGGATTTAAAAGCAGGAAGAGCTTCAGAGAAGGATGTTGGAGGGTAAATACAAGTCTTTAATGTTTACAGTTTGTTGTTTTATGCTGGGAAATACACTGTATAAGCTGTCAGCTTCGTCAATGATGTTTACACTTCACAAATGACCTCGCTAACAAAAATTACTTTTACGTCAACCTGTAATGTTGAGCGTCAACCGGGAGGATGTTCCGTTTCACTAACTCTCGTATAGGGCGGGGAGGGAGGAGGGTTACGTAACGGCTCATTGATACATGTTCTAATTATGAACAGTGGAACTGTGGCACCACTTGTAAACCTCCTGTTCTATATAACTGCCCCAGGCTGGGCAATAGCAGAGTCGTCAATACAAAGCGGAGGCATGACCTCTGCCATTCCTCCACCACTTTAGGAGCATTAATCTGCTGCTTGTGCTCCAACCGCTCCATAATGTTTTGTTTTTTTTCTCTCTCCCGCTGAAATAAAACCTTTCTTCAGTTTTACACTTATGTATTACAACTCTGGGTCAGTCTGTGATATCGGGGTTGGAGCCGGGGGTTAAAAGCAGTGGAGGCAAACTGTTCGGAAATAGCTGTTAATTGAATGCCGGCCGGGATCACACGGCTGACACGACGAAGCAAGTTCACGTGTGAATTTGTAGGTTTTTATAGCATTTAGACACAGTATAAAGTTTGTTTTTCTCTAAAAGGTAAATGGAGGATTTGTAACTTTTCACGAACTGATGGTTAAAAATGAATAGAAACCAAGTCAAATGTAACATACGACAGGACAGTTACCATACAGAGCATTTATTGATTCCTATAGTTTATAATGTAAACATACAGTCTTGTACAGGACTGTAAACAATATAGGCTACTTTTATCATAACTGTAAGAAGTATTACAAACAATACAAAGTTTTTTTGCAATACTTTGGAATAATACTGTATACATAGTACCTGCTTTTGTTTGACAAAGAAAATACATAATTGCATATAACGTATCATAATAAATTGTGTCACACGGTTACAGAACTTCGCAACTGTCAAAGTAGTACAAGAGTCGGACGATTGTCTGTAATTAAGTGCTGTTTGGAATCACATATAAAGAAATGTGCAGCTTTATCGTCACACAAGTGAAGCTGCTGAATGTACCACAAACATCATGGTACAAACTGTGAGAAATAGGAAAGAAGAAGCCACTTAACCTTCACTTTAACCAATTAGTCTTTAAACCTACACAGTGACAAAAAAAAACAACCTTAAAACTACATCGAACCTACCTATAGCATAAAGTCCCAACTCAAATCACAAATTAAAAAGTGACTGATCCGACTGTGAGAGGAATACTGCAATTGAACTCTTTCCTAGGACCATGAAGGCATCACTGGCTCTCATTAGTTTAGTAAAGGCGAAAAGTGAATTTATTTTTTGTTATTGTGAAAGTGCTTCACAGATAGTCTTACAATTTTCTGAAGGAACACCAGAAACCATAGTCACGGTGACCGTGTGACTCTCAAATTATATCAAAACAATTTACTACAAGGACAATCTACCGAGGACTTGTCAGTCGAATTTTCAAAATTTAAAGATCATTTTGAGGATACTGTCGGTTTTCGGAGTCATTTTAAAATATTGATGTATTATCTTGAATACAATGAGGGAACTAAACAGAAATGACCAGATTCTCTTTACATGATCCACAGTAGTGTTCCGCGAACCAGAGGTTGGGGACCCCTGTATTTGAGTTTAGAAAATTTGAAAAAAAAAATCCTCCCTTTATTTTAGTCACTGATGTAATTGTCTCTTCAGTGGCATAAGGCACTATAGCAACGACTAACACTGTTAGTGTTGACTCTGAGACTGTTTCCAGAGTAAGGAACGACAATGACAACTCAGTGAAAGTACCTTGACTATTGTTGGTCCTACATTAGTCCCAGCTAAAGAAGTAGCACACAGAGGCACAAAAGCTAAGTCAGAAAATTGAATTTCACTTCACTTCTTTAAAAACCTGAGGTGACGTGCAAAGATGTTGCTCCAAAGATAAGTTATAAGTTTCTTCTTAACAGACCAGAGAGCAGGTCGAGTCATTTGTCTATATGTGGAGCTAAAAGACAGCCATAGAGATTTGGAAAAACGATCCAGCCCAACAACTGGATACTTCCTCTATCATAGTGTCACCACTAAATACTACACATACAGTTATCATAGAGAAAACCGACTGATTTATTAGTAGGATTAGTAAGATTGTAGTATAATAGCATTACGTGTCTTAGGATTATACAGTGTTTTATTTTCGTTATTTTATGTAAAAAGTAGAATATGTTTAAAGTAGCTTCTATATAAAAAATGGCTTTTAAAAAAATTCTCCCTGACTCATAAACCTTATAAACAAAGTTTACAAAGTGATTTAAATGTTTGTCAGAGCATCAATAAAAAAGACGTTTTAAACACCGCTGGGTTCTCCCATCATAATCTTCTCGTTCCTCTCGTCCACATTCCTGGTCGCCGGAGCTTTTATGACGACACACTTACACAGAGTGAGCCGCGGCTTGTGAGGCAGAGCCTGACGCAGGTCACTGGACGGCGTCAGCATGTTTTTACTGTCCTGGTTTTAAACAGAGAGGATGATGAAGTTTTAAATACTTTTTAAAAGCACGGTAAAAAAGGTAATGACAGAAAAAACAAACAAACAAACAAAGTAATATTTTGCTTGCCTTCCACAGGGTGTACAGAATGAAGATTGGGATGCACATCAGCGGAGTGGCGGTGAGTAGAATACCGAACAACTTCCCCATCACTCCGAGTTCATAATCGTGGTACCAGAATCCGTGGTGAAGGTTCATGTAATAGGTCAACAACAGCTAAAGGACAAAAAAAAAGTCACAGTACGTGTGTATAATAATACTGGGAGGATAGGACACAAATTTGGTGAAAATTGGAGAAAATTAAAAAGAAATTTAAAGATAGATAGGTAGATGATAGCTAGCAAGCTAAGTAGGTAGGTCAATAGGTAGCTAGCTAGGTAGCTAGGTGGATAGACAGACAGATAGATAGATGGATAGATGGATAGATAGACAGATAGATAGATAGATAGATGGATAGATGGATAGATAGACAGATAGATAGATAGATAGATGGATAGATGGATAGATAGACAGATAGATAGATAGATAGATGGATAGATGGATAGATAGACAGATAGATAGATAGATAGATGGATAGATGGATAGATAGACAGATAGATAGATAGATAGATGGATAGATAGACAGATAGATAGATAGATAGATTGATTGATTGATTAGGAGATGGTGACAACTCACTAAGATGATGAACGGTGTGATGAACAACCAGCAGTATTTCAGCACAACCAATGGAAACCGGAAGCCGATCATGTCCGCAATGTTGTTACAGAATCGGTCCGCTCCTGGTCATAAGTGTAAGAAGTAGCCAAAAATGTTTCCTCAATTTTACCTAACGCTAAGTATAAACATTTTACTATTCTCAAATTTTAAATAAGATGCTTAAAGATACATTGGGAAAAAACCTATACAGGAAATGATATGTAGAATGAAAACACAAACTCAGAAAGAGGAGTTTAGTTTATGTGGGCAGAAAATGAAGCCGCGGTGAAACATCGGTCATGGGCAAATAAGGGAGGGAGGAGGCAAAGAGGTGACGTGGGAGAAGAAGAGGAGAGAGATTGTCATCTTTAGCTGCAGGAGGAGCAGCCGAACGCTACGACAAATCCTCATTTAACAGATTGAACGGCAACAAGAGTTTGAAAAAAAGAAAAATCGGAACCTAGTGATGGCTGTACGAAACTGAAGCCGATCATAAAGGATGTGTAGAACAGGGGTGTTTAAACTGTGGTCCGTGGACAGTTGGTGGACAATCATTCACACTAAATTCACACCGAGGGTCAATTTGGGCTGAGGAATTAACCTGCATGTTTCTGGGTGTGATAAAAAAAATTAACAGAACTTAAAGAAAATCCTTGTAAGCAAATGTAGAAGGAACTTTGTGAATCAGGTATGTGGCGGTCGCGACCTACCGTACACCCAGGCGATGACGATAACCTCGCAGCCAGCAATAACGAGGAAAATGCATTCCTGTCCACAGAAGTGACCGGCCAGGTGAAACATGAGCAATCCTCCCTGAGAGGTATGAGCAAAAAAAGCCACTGAAGTTGAATTAGTTGCAGAGGAACAGATGGAGAAAATGAATCAGTGTTTGTGCAGTGTTGAGCGCTTTCACCAACGCGTGACGTGAATTGCAGCCACGGCGGCTTTTACCTCAGTGACGAACGGCAGCCCCAGCAGGAAGCAAACGACAGTGATGAGCAGCGTGAGCTTCACCCTGTCTCTGGGACCCCTCAGCTGTTGTGGGAACAGGTCAGTGATGGCTGTGGCCAGGGTCTCTACAGTTATGAACTGGCAGCGACACACGTGAGGGTTAGTGTTATCATTAGAAGTTGACGTTTGTATTTCAGGGCTTCAGGGGTGTTAATTAAAGCCTGTGTCAAAGACATACCTGTAAGTCAATGGACAGACAGAAGAACATGAGGAAGAAGAGCACAGACCAAAACCCAGAGGCAGGTATCCTCGACAGAGCCGCCGGAATGAGTGCGAAAATCAATTCAGTGTCTGGAATGATGTAGATGTGCATTCCAGGGCAAATTCAAACACTTTCAATGTTCGTTGAAACACAACACCATCCTTGTGAAGTTACATTGTTTTTTAAAAAATAATACTTTAATCCAATATTTACTCTTACTACTCCAATCCAATCTTTACTCCCTTGTTGACCTCCAAGGACACACAAACACATTTTAACCTAAGCGTCAATGCCATCTTGTGGGCAACAAAAGTATTGCGCTTAAAAATAAAGCGAGCTAAAATTTGGGGGTGTGATATTTAATTCACAAGTATATACTTATTATATTAACCTTTAATATAATAATAATAATAATAATATAAAACACATTTTTAAATGTTAAATGTATAAAATATTTGCAGGGCAATAACAAAAAAGGAAGAGGATAAAACAAATTGCTATGAATAACTACACGTGTCAACAAAAGCTATACTTAGGGTTTTTAGAAATTACTTGGTTATACATGGGTAACAGAATAGATGAAACTTAACCAAATGTATATTCTCCCAATTTAAATATTTACCAGAAGTAGCGACATCGCTGAGCTCTACGCCGTAGAAAAAGGCCAAGAATCCTGTGGCCGACGCCACGACTATAGTACAGATGATATTTAAACAGAAATTTACGCCGCACAACGCCAAGCAGTCCCTGCAAGAGAACACAAGTCCACGTTCATACGTGTGTGAAATGCTGTGCACACAATGTCATGGTGCACACACACACACACACACACACAGGACACACACTGACCTCAAACAGTTGTTGTTGTATCTGTTGTAGCTTCCAAGTGCTATAGCTATTCCAAGAGATGCAGAACAGGAGTAAAGCACATGACTTGCTGCTTCGATCCATGTCTGTGAAGAGAGTCGCTCACTTACACACACCAAATAATAAACAAACACTAACGCATTAACTTTAAATTTACAATTGTCCTAGGTTTCGTACAGCTCGCTTTTTCTGTGTGACGTATTATCATTTTTATCTGTCTTTCTCGACCAATTTTTAGTTTTTCATTTTTATATTATGTCTTCACTAATCCTTAGATAGTAATTGGCTTATGAGCACAACTGAGGTTCATTTAAGGCACAGGTCCCAGAATCTTTTGCTTGTATGTTGTCTATTGGTTAGCACAGGGATGGGCAAACTGAGGCCTGTGGGCCGGATGTGGCCCGTTCGGCTTTGTAATCCGGCCAAATTTGCCCAAATTATATAATTGGTTTGTATTGTGATTATACTTCTGCCTCTTCCCTGCAATCCCAATAGATGGTGTAGAGAAGGCTAAAAGCATTTTAGCATTTTAGCCTTTATGCATAAATGTAAAAACATTTATCTTAGTTCACACCAACGCTCCATCTATCTACTCCTGATTCGCCCCGCCCTCGCCCCCCCCGCCCATCGCGTAGGACAAATGTTAGGTCAAAAAGTTTGCCCATTTCTTGACAGTTTTTACTGGTTGAATTACTGGTAAAATGTTTGACTTCTGGATAACTCCCTGGATAACTTCTGGTATAATTTTAGCCAAATATTAACTAGTCTAGATTTTCTGGCAAATCATTGTTTGTTCCTTATTGTAATTATAGTTTGGCCAGTTTGTAGACATTATTGGTATTTTAACTGTTTCTTGGCTATTTTGGAATGTTGTTTTGTTCATCTGAAAGCCCATCTTGCTCACATGTGGTTAACGTTAGAGCAGCTCTCTGACTGTTTCCCACTGAAAGACCGTAGAAGTCATGGGTTCCAAACAATACTAAGCGTCTTTATTTCTATTGCCGCCACATGATGGCTCTAACTAATTCCAGGCCTCTGGGCAAAAATGGAAACATCCTTGTGCAGCAGAATATCATCATGTCAACGCACACAGAAGAGGCTGTTGTGTCTTTAGGAGCACTGAACATCTGAAGCCCACTGACACGAATACAGACGCACTAATCAAATGCCTTTTAACAATAAAATGACTTCAGATGGAAACCACTCTGGCAGGACGGACCCTTGCGTACATGCGTGCAAGCACAAGAATTTCTCAGAGACGGATCCTTTTTCCGGGCCATCTGGTGTTGCATAATTTTGGGCGCTGCTACACAACTGCTTTCATCTACATAATTTCGACTAGGTTGTTTACACTGCACACACACTTCTTAGATCCTGGTAGAAGTTTAGCACCGGGTAAGTTTCATTTTTATGGAACGTCATGTCTCCTCGTGATAATACACATGGCCATATGGATGAACAGGAAGTGACCACTAAAGACCAAAAGAGGTGTCTTAGGTCATGACCCTGTGAGGATAAAATTTGACCCCTGTAACCGAGAGATCTCGTGTCCAAGGGAAGTGAGAATCGGAGGGGGGGCAATCAGTTTGCATTCCAGTCATTTTGCAACAGTCTTCCAACCAGCCAGGATTTGCATTTTTTACGCAGACCTTTCAGATGTACTGACAGAATGTTTCATATAAAATGCGTAGGTTTCCTACCGACTTTACAAAATTAGACATAGAAATAATTGTCTAGAGCTAGTTCACAACAGTTTGGGTTTGAATCTTGTTTATTTAATCAGAAATGTCCTTTTGAATGACTTTTTGATGGCTTATTTAAGGCAACTTCTGTCTAATGATCTTTTTCACTTTATTTTTGTTATTTTGTGGCCAAATTGAGCAGCTTTTTGTGAATTTTAACACGCTTCTGCTAGTATGTTCTGTACTGGTTAGCACTTTCTTGGCAGTTTGAATCAGGTCTAATTTTGTGCTATTTCTGTTAAAATGTTTGTGTTCCAGATAACTCTTAGTTGTTTTGGTTGGCTCTTTGGTCTATTAGCACATAGCTATTGTTCTACTTTTACAGTTCTTGGTTTTCCACTTAAGGCTAATTGCTGAATCTGTCTATAATATTTTAGCTGTATCAACAGTTTTTGTAGGATTTTTCATTTATGTTTTTTATACTATCTTTAGGTGTTGTATATTTTGTATATTTAAGCTAATGTAACTATCAGAACAACTGGCTAGCTTACTTGATTTTAAATTAGCAAAAGTTTTTTTTTTTTTCTAGTAAAAACACTGCAGCGTTTGGTTGTTTGTAGTGTATTCCAAATGAAAATGTCTTTACAGCCCCTGTTGTGGTTTCTTAGGCTACTGTGCAACAAAGAAACTCACCGATGCTTGAGCTATATGGTCGATGCTTGGGTAAAAGAAATATTTTAGGCCCAGTGAAGCTCCTGGGAGTGACACTACACGGAAGAAAAAGATGACCAGCAGCAGGCAGGAGAAGCCGACTGTTAAGTAGACCACCTGCAAAGCACAGAATTAGAGATAAAAAAATGGTTATGTGGGGGGATGTAGGTTGGCATGGCCAAGACAAGTCTCTATTAGCAAAGAAACACATTTTCAAGATTTGTTCAAACCATGTGTCAAACACAAGGCCTGCGGACCAAATGTGGCCCGCCAAGTCATTTTTTGTGGCCCGCGGGAGCCTAAAAGGCATTTCCCTTATAATAAAATCTATGCAGCTGAATTTATTAACCTGATAGATTTTTTAGTTTTTTTTTAAATAACACAGCAACCTATAATAATTTGAAATTCAAAAAATAAATCATTTATATTATATTACGTTATAAAGTAGTAACATTTATACAGACTTCCAGTTACAACCGGCCATTCAATGGGAACTGTATTGCCGATGTCGACCCCCGGTGAAACTGAGTTTGACACACGTGGTTTAAACTAAAAGGTTAACTAATTTGCCAAAAATAACTGTTTAATGCATTTTGAAAAAGTCATTAATTTTGGCATAAACAGGAACAACGGCAGGCCAAAATCTTTGAAACATTTGCCAAAATGACACGTAAAACTACTGGCCCTAAAGAAAAAGACAAAACATGTCCAAGACTAGCTCAGCTAAGGCTAAGTTAATAGACAAAAGAATGTTGAACCACAACACAATGTTAAAAAAAAAATCTTTCTGTATAAATATACCACGTTACAACGTGGACACCTGCAGCTTACAGAGAAGTGCGCCCTATATATGAATAATGATTTTTTCTTTTTAAATTTAGTGGGTGCGGCCTATGTTCATGTGCGCTAAATAGTCCGGAAATTACGGTACTTAAGTTAACCAAAAAACAGCTTCCAGGTTATAGCTTGTCTCACCTTTCCGAGGAGTCTGATTCCCTTCCATGTACACAGGAAGCATAGGGTCCATGAACCAAAGAGGATCAGAGCCAGGTCCCAGTTTACGACACCCAACGACAAGTCTTCTGACTCTCTTATCACACGATACCTTAGAGGAGAAGGTTAAAATACATTTAGTTTGTAAACAAACTCTGTCTCAATAAAATGACAACTCCATCGAGAATATATGAATAACAAATTTATAGTCATAGCTATGCTACAAATAGAAGAGCAAAACATAGGGAAAGCAGCTTTGACCATAGAAGGGGCCTGGAGAGGCGTCTGCTGAAGGAATGTTCAGGCCAAAAAAAGCACTTGAGTAGTGTCACACTGTGTTTTCTTTTCTATGGAGAGAAAATAAGTCGGCAACTTGTCTCACCTCCAGAATTCCAATTCTGCTGTATACCCCTGGTTCGCAGTGGAAGATGTATTCCTTAAATATTAAAAATAATAACCGTTAGAACAGTTCATGTAAATTAAAAGCTGTGTAGCCATTCGCTTCATTAATAATTAAACAATACAGACTTTTCCAATGTCCAGATATATTCACAGACCGTGGTAATAGAGAAACAGAGATGCAACTTACCCATAAGGATAGTCTTCAAAGTTGTCTTGTATGGTGACATTATTTAGATATGACCAGTCAGGGTCAGTGCGACACTGAACTACAGGAAACAAAAAGGACACCCTGGGGCAATTAGCAAAATAGTTAGCCCAGTAGTAAAGTTGCCCAAAATGTTGCTTAAAGCGAGAACAGATGGAAACTAGCCTAATGTATAATAGCCGCAAGATAATTCAGAATCACTAAAAACCCAGCCCACAAAGTTCTACAAACAGCTCAAAACAACCCAAACTGAACAATTCGCTTGCACACAGAGACTCCTGGGTTCGATTCCCAGAGGAACCACATATCCTGAATTGCGCCTCTGGTGTGGCAGCCTGTGAGTTGTAACCTCAGACTTAATGGCGCCTCCTGTGGCAGCCAATGTCCGTTGCACACGCTCACATTGTAACTTTCCCCACTGTTGGATGATTAAGGGACTCAATGAATTAATGATATAACAATTCATTAATTTAAATATTTCACAAGATTATAAAAATAATTGATTAAAAGTTCAACAAAAAGGTAAATTAACTTTTCATAACCTCAAATATATGAAAAGCGTAAACAGAAAAATAAATTGAGCTAAAATGGAAAAATGTATAATGGAACCAAACTTCCATTTAAACTTCCACCTTAGAAAGAGGTAAAGTTGAGAAGACTGTAAAATAGCTGAACGCTATTAGCACAGTTTAGCTTAAAATACGGCAAGGAATCGATTTAAATTTACCAAAACATAACCAAACATTTGTGAAATGTCATGAATTTGTCCTGAAACCATAAAAACAAGATTGTCGGCCAGATGAGCAGAGTAACCTGGGGCCTGACTTACTGAGTTCATACAGATGATTGTGTGCTCATGTGACCGTGGGATGATGCTAGTTCTATGTTGCTAATGGAAAACACGTGTATAGACAAGCTTTACTTACTGCTATTCCATATGTTGTCGCATACCGACCAGACCAGAGGACTTTTAAAGGAGTAAAACAGGTACAGACCAGTCCAGGCCGAGATCACGATGTAGTATGTCATTGCATAAAACAAAGTGATTTGGGACGCAAACCCAATGCCTGCAGGACACAGACACAAAAAGTTTTCAGTCAGTGGGCATTTCTTCTCTCCCTGTCTGTGATTTGTGTGACATTTGTGTCGTCTCCTTGGATTTAAGTCTGGTGTTTTTTCAACGTTTGCTTTCAGCATATAACAATAGCTTTAGCCCACCACTGGTGCAGCAGTGAAAAAAAAAGTCCCTTTCACTTAGTTCCTTGTTAATGAGTGCTCTGCTTTAGGAACTTATCCTGCTCTGACAGCGAGGACACAAGCCTGGCTGCAGATGCACAAGGCTGTTATTGTTTGGGTTTGACCACTGTTGATTTCCTGCTGCTGTTAAAAGTGGATGACTACCCAGATTTAAAGAAAAAAATTTAAAAAAAAATTGACATCACTTCTTGACCACTTTAAAATGTTTGGAACTTGTGTTAAAAAAACAGAAGGATTAATGTAATTACATTTAATGCAAATACTTTATCAGGAGGAAATGCATTTCCTGAGCATGACGGAACAAACTGTACAACCCTAACAAAGTGTGTCTGAGGCTTTAATTCATCTCTTTACCCTGGAACATGGGACAGATCTTCCTCCAGGCTGTTATAGCGCCCTCACTGGTGAACTGGCCCAGTGCCATCTCCAGGAAGAGCAGGGGAATGCCACACACGAGGTAGATTAATACATAAGGTAAGAGGAAAGCAACTGCAGAGAAACAAGGAGTAAATAGATAGTGTAGATAAGTCAGCCGTAGACAAGTTGGCAGAAAGCACAAGAGTTTGTCCAAAATAAGAAAAATGTTAATCCATAAATATGGTTTTCACTATTTTTTTTTTTTATAGATCTGACTTATTTAAAGTGAGACATGGAACAAAGTTTTGATGGCATTGAGTTATTTTGAAAAATATTGTGAGGACACTTTCTCTGTTAGATAGGACTGTAAAATGTGCTGTTAGTTCATACCCTAGTTTCCTAACACACAAAGATAAATAAAATTAAAATAAATTTTAAAAAATCAAATATAATTTTCTTTTTTTACGAGATCTCAAGTTTTTAAAGTTTTACTTGCAAGCAAGGAGTGCAGAACAATGGTTACATTCAGAACTGCACTGAGGAACTCCTCAGTGCTCAGAGCTTATATACAGTTTGTTGGTTACATAACATTTCAACAATCAACGCCTTTCCATTTCGGTGACCTCCACTTGACATTTCATTGTTCACCTTTCTGGGCAAAGAGACAGTTTAATATTGTTCTGTGGTTAATCTGCAAACGTATCAGCGCTGCACACATCCTGTCATCTGGTATGGAATGGACAAAAGTAATTTTTAGTCACTTAACACCTTGGTTCCCAAAGACTGGGTCACGACCCTCAGGTGGGTCGCAAGAGTTTCTTTATTATTTTAAAATATGGGTCCCCAGAAAAAAAGTTTGGGAAACACTGACCTAACACTAACTATTGCTTTCTTGTTTTGAGACTGAGTGTGTTATCATCGTCATCAGTGTCTTTTTTTCCCAGTGCACTTTATTTTTAACATGTACAAACATGCATGGTTATTCTCTCGTGTCCAATCCAATTCTGAACAAAGTTCTCACGGTAAATCCTGCCAAACATGTTCCTCACCTGCTCCATTCTTGTACATCAAATATGGGAAGGACCAAAAATGTGGAGCCGAAAGCAGACACGCACTCATGGAGAAGATATACTCCCATATGTTGTCCCATTTCCTCCGAGGGCCAGCCCCTGCCTCACTGCCCCCCTTCTCTGGCTGCGAGCCCGGAGAAGAGGCTCCGTTTATTGTTACCGTTTCATCCGCCATAGTTCACCTCAGTGCTGTTTTCAAACACAAAAATATGTTGTTGTTTTTTTTAAATCACAAATGATCGAATTGCGACCACAGTCTCCGATGCTCAGGTCCACAAACAGCCTTCAGACATCTGCGCATCAGCAGACAAAAAGATTCTACCCGTAGCTCTGCAGAACATCATTTTACCAAACTTTTCTTAAAACCTGCCATTTGAACGATTAAACCCATCTGTTGCATTAGTTTTGTTTTCTGAAGGTTGAAATTAAGTAGGTAATGAAATGACCTACCCAAACGTTTGCAGAGCGAAGAGCCCGTGAAGAAATCTGCTTTACTGGATCCTGATTTTTTTTTTTTTTTTTTTTAGAAACGGGGAGTGACTCAAAATTCCACAGCACATAAGATATCACCCCATTGGTAGGAGCTATACCTTCTCTGGATCCCCCTTTTCTTGCGAAGTCTACGCCTCTTCCCTTGCGTTTTACGATACTCTTACCCCCGGGAAAGTATTATGTAAAACATTTCAAGTTTGTAACTTTGACTCACTGTCGCAAAGTTGTCCGTAATATTTGTTGTAATCTCACAAATTGAAATATTATTATAAATAATAACAAAATAATAATAATAAGAGAGTTTTTTTAGATTTTAAAATACTTTATTGACGGTTGATGTAAAACTGTGAAACACAGTTACATCAGAATGTAGTCTCCTCGTGGGATTTAAAAGCAGAATATATATATATATTATATATATATATATATATATATATAATATATATAATTCATATTCATTAACAGGAGGTGTAAAAACCGTAAAGCACGAAACAATCAATACATTTAATTTAAGGGATGTGCAAATTGTAGTTCGCTGCCAGCCACCTGAAAAAGAAGATTTGATTTGTTCGAACACATCAGTTTGTCTACAGTTGTTGTAAAAACAAACAAACAAACAAACTGTGAAACACACAGCAAATTACATTTCGTTTTGTTTCATTTTAGGTCATTCGTTCTGGGATTTTAGTAAAAAACATTTAGTAAAAAAAACATGAAAAACGTTCTCGAACAGTCCACAGAATGGGCACTCATTCACATTATCCGAACAAACGCAAAAAAGCAAACAAGTAATATTTACAACTAAAAAATATATTTAACATACACATAAAAAATTGTATTTTAAATGACAGTGACATGTTTGGAGTTCTGTTTTCATTCAAAATGCCAAGATTCAGGTTAAAGACAATCTCTTTTTAGAATCATTTTTTAAATTAAAATATCAAAGGGTTTTTTTTCTTTAAATTTAAATTTTCAATTACAAAAAGTTAAACCCTGAATCGTCACACCAATGTTTATCTGACGATACTAAATCAGGGCAATAAAGCACTGTTTCAAAATGCAACAGGAAAGAAGACAGACAATGTTACGCCACGCTGACGCTGTAGACGTCGTGACGAACCAGGAAGTAAACAACGAAGAGGAAAAAGAGAAGATGTTATGCGGTGTTGGCCGCCGCATAGAGCATATATTGCGGGTTTTCTACTTTTTAATGGCTAAATGAATCATGTGTTTGTGAGGACATGGGGGCAGCTAGAGGAAGGCTGAACCCTGGTAAGAATTATTAAGCGTTTAAAATGCCCCTCCGGAGGCAGCCATACTGATATGTAGCTTTGCGTCTTTAAACACCGCTTCGACGTTACATTACAGTTCTTGTCTATGATGCTTCCTTATGTACTTAAGTTATTGTGTGTTTTCGCTCACTAATTTCAGATTTGGCTATGTTAGCCATCAGGTCTTCAGAGGAGGAGACCGCAGAGATAATGGAGGACATGGACACCTCAGACCCAGACTGGAGCTGGTTCTACTTGGCTGAATGTGGAGTGTGGCACATGTTCGAGGTAGACCACAGAACATGACAGCTTCAGCATCACACAGTGCTTGTCGTCTGTCTATCCTACTGCTAAAGTCTATGGCTTCCTTTAGATTGGAAACTTATTTGTTGTTCAAAAAATCAACCAAAAGAGCATCACATTTGCAGGAAGTGCATTTGAAACATAAAACGAAATTATACATTAAATATATATATAGTTTTCCCACCCACATGTTATATTTGGTGTTGGTGTTTTGAGGCAGGTAGGTTGGTAAACAGCATCTCAGTGTGGAAAAATAATGCCTTTAAAACTTTTTACAGATCTGAAATTTTTGCTCAAACTTTAGTTATTCCTGCAATCAATTGTTAAAGATGTATTCAGAGCCAAAAGGTCTGTACTTTTGGTGGATACAAGTAGCCTACATTAAATTAAGGGGTATTTACTTTTTGGCATTATTAAATACTAAATACCAAAAATTCCAAGTTTCTATTGGTTTTTGATACGAGGTGCATAATTTATATATACTAATGAGGGTTTATGGTGAGTTTCATTGTTTTTTAGAAAACTGAAACTGAGAGTTGAATATCTGAGTGTGTAACAGTCTGCTCCTTGGCTCCTTTCATCAGGTCATGCCTTTTTTCCTTCAAACTGCTCAACCACTTCCACCTATATACTGTATACAGCTGCACTCACTTAACTAATCCTGGCCTGGTTGTGCTGCTACTTTCTATACCCGTGACAATAACTGCATATCTAAATTATTTTTTAAGGACTTACTAGTGAATAATCTTTTCAGTTTTCCACTGTTTCTCTGTGATTTCTGCGGCAGATTGACCCCAGTGCTGCATGTTCTGTCACCTGTGCTCAGATTGAGCAGTGCTACAACAGAAACCAGAGAGGTGTGATGGAGTTCCGCACTGCCAAGTACACATACAGGCTGGACTTTTCAGGTATGAGGGAGAAAATATTACATTTTTTTTCCACAGAAGATCTGGAGCCTCTCTGCTGTAATCTTAAACAACTTTCTTTCCAGTCATGCGACAGATCAATGTCACTACCGGAAAGCAGCGGCCAATTAAGCGTTCCCTCCACTCTGCCACTGGCTTTAGGTAATTTTTTTTTTTTCAACATAACGCCAGAAACTACAGAGTAAGGTCTTTTGAAAATAAGATGATACTCTTTGACACCAAAGATCAGGTTTCAAACATCTGCAAAGCTCAGAACGTCTATGAATTAAAACCTTGTGATTATTCCTAAAGATAAACTCTTACCTGTCTGAGATAAGACATAGCACAAATAATGCCTTGTCTTTCTTTAATAATCTGCCTTTTACTTATTTTGTCAGATTTATCTGTGATAATCTAGCTCTACCTGTGCCCTGTCACTGGGAGAGAATCAACACAGATGAACCCTATCAGGTAAAAAATAATAATAATAATAACTAAAAGACGTTAAAATGCCTTGTATAAACCAAACATTCTCACTGTGCATTTACTGATTTTCTTTGGTAGCTCATCCAGCTTAAAAGAGACACGTATGAGTTTAAAGAAGTGGCCAGACTGTATGATCGAACAATGAACCATCCAATCAAATCTATCCAGAGAATTCAGAACATGGACTTATGGGAATTTTTCTGCAGGTATATAACAATTGTGGGCATAGTGCATTGTATCTGCAGTCGAGATTTGAGCGCCTATTATTTTTGGTTTAATTTAGCTACACGGTAAATGGTTAAAAGCAAACCAATAGTTCCGCAGTGTGGTGCAGTGCGTTGTGCGTCATATCTCGGTTCTTCTCTAAGGAAGAAAACACAGTTGCGAAAAGTCAAGCGCATGATGGATATCGAGGAGCGAATGCTGTTCCACGGCACGGGACACAGCAACATACAAGCAATATGTACATTCAACTTTGACTGGCGGCTGACGGGAAGCCATGGAGACCTGTATGGAAAAGGTAGAAAACATGTCAATTGTTGCTGCTTTGTGCTGTTGAAAACTACTGTTCCAGCCTCCCTCGCATTTCCTTCTCTCTTCTCAGGAAGCTATTTTGCACGGGACGCCATTTACTCCAGTAAGTTCTGCCACACCACGGGAAAACACAACAACACGCTGCAGAGGCACGGACTCGCACCACCAATATTTGCCAGCGATCCTCCCTACAAGACAATGTTTTTGGCCAGAGTGCTGGTTGGGGAATACACACAAGGTCAGTCTATGTACTGCAGACCACCCTCTAAGGACGCCAGCTTCACTAACTTTTACGACAGCTGTGTGGACGATATTGCCAATCCAAAGATTTACGTCATTTTTGACAGCAATCAGATTTATCCTGAGTATCTCATCGAGTTTTACTGACAGCAAGTAGAATCCCAGGATCAGCAATATCAACGATGCAGAGTGGGGGAATGGGGTAACATGAAAGAGTAGCAATTAAAGGTACCCTTGTTGCTTTTTTTTTTGTAGTTGGATCCAGTGCCTAACTGGAGTTAGAGCCATCTGAAGTGCCTTTAGAGAAAAGTGGAATTTCACAAGAACAATTTGGAATATTTTATGTCCAATTTGTGTTCTGTACTGTTTCTTTAAATACCAATGGCTTCAATGGGAAGATTTGAGGAGTTTGGGTCGAGTACTCAAATGTCCAAGTGAAAGTCAAAACAAATCTGTGGATTATGTAAAAGCATAAGTCATGGTCACGGCTTTAGTCAGAGAATGGTTGATTTCAAGTAGATTCCAAGTCACATGACAAGTGGAGCTGGAATTGTTGACCAGTTGAGTCCGGACTACTTTAGTACTCAAGGTTTCAAGTCACGCTCCAAGTAATGGAAGAGAAGACTGAGTCACGTCCCCCCAGTCAAGTGGAGTCCAGTAGGATTATTGGAGTTTTAGTCTGTGTCATCATTGACAAAGTCGCAGTCGAGTCAGAAATTCTGGACTTGACCATACTGATCACGTTTGTGTCTGTACATCAATTTATTTTTGATGACACGCAGACACTGTACGGACTGCATTTTCCAGTCCCCTCTGCAGCCACATACAAACGTTAGCTGAGGTTAAAGCAGCTCTTTTGCACATGATCCTGTTTGCATTTTACTAATTTCAACACTGTGGTCAACATCCGTGATTTTTTTTTTTGTTTTATTTAGGGCATGTTTTCCATTCAGAAAAAAAAAATACATTTCTACCTCCTTTACTTTTAACCTGGCATCTGTCTGTTCTTTCTGTCCTTTCTGAGAAAGGTTTTTGTAACTGTGTCACAGTGACATAAATTCCTGATGTCATGCACACTCGTCCTCCCACAGTAATACTGTACGTATTTATGTCAGAGATGCCAATGAGATTTGGTAACAAAGTGCAAGCCTCAGCATTTCGGTGCGTGGCATCTCCCCGGGGGTAAACTGACTGAAATGCGTGGCATCTCCCCGGGGGTAAACTGTATCTCTTTGCACCTTTGTAAATGTATAAATTCAAAATAATTGTACCTAGCACGTGTATAGTACTGTAATGTAAAATATCAGCACAGTGTAATGTTGTTTTCTTGTCTGTATTTGTTGTGTTCTATGTATGATTGTGTCTTTGTGTGACTTTCAGCAGCTGGAATTTAAAAATATATATAATAATGATAATTATATGCTGTCAACGTGCCAAAAATACTACTAAACAGTTCTGGCATCATTTGAAAATCGAATGTTTGTAACTACAGCTGTGTCGGAGTGAATGCAGGAATGTGTGAGGCTTAATGTGTATCTGTAACATGTACATGTTTGAGCCAATAAACCTTAAAGTAAACACATTAGTGATTTATGGTGTATTTGAGTTTTCTAAGATCACAAACAAGGAATATTAAAAATTCCTGCGTTTATCATATAAAACCCTCTTCCCATTAGCTAAATTAAAATAAATATAGAAAAAATATTTGATAATATTAAGCTATTTGGTCAAAAATTGCAGACTATATTAATCATTTTTCAGAAAAAGAATCAAAAATGCCCTCATAGTAGCCAATTGCATATGAAAATAACCAGGAAATGGATGGATATTTGTTAAAACACTGGCAAACATTCCAAATAATGCCAATTATTTGCCAACAGGAAGTCACATACTTATATTAACATCAGACTGACTCATTAAAAATATAATCTATATCGGTACCAACTATTTTCCGAACCAATTTTATATTAGGAAAAAATAAATGGTGTCTTTAACAAATCCGCCAGCAGAAGTCGCTGTTGACTCAGAAAACGTTTATTTCCTTAGCATTGGTGAGGTCGCTGTTGGTGTCAAATATATGGTTTCATTTTGCTAAACATGCGTCACGTTGATCTTTTGAATGAATGTAGAACTTTTTGTCTGGCAGGTTGTAAACTATTCAAACAACAATACTGTAAACAACGATTGTGTGGGCTTTCTACAAACACATGCTGCTTCTCTTGAGGTTCTTTCATTTATTAATTTTTTCGGTGTTTCAACTCAAACTATTAATATTTCTATTTATTTATGTATATAATATGACATTTAGTTCCCGACTACCTAAAGAGTTCAGTTTAATCATTTCAGTATGAGCTCTCTGTTGGATTCAAGTGGTATAATTTGATATGCTGATGACGACAAACTCTTCTGTGCCTTATAAAATGACCTGAAAACTGTCCAGTAAAAATCTCACCAGTGAAGGAGTTTCTGTGCGTTCCATTATATTTACCTTATAAAACCATATGTCACATAAAAGAAACCACCTTAACCACACACTGTTGCAGTTTTTCCAAATGGGCTTTAGTTAGCATCTTTTCATCCTCCTTAATCGCCCAAATGACTTTTGCACACACACGTACACACACACACAAAAACACATGTTATATCCACAGTGAAGGTTTTGTGTATGTGGCCTTTTTTTTATTGGTATAATATTGTTAGTTATGTGTAGACAGAACTGTTTTCCAAAGTCGGGGTTGTAGTTTTCAGTTGACACTTTGGATTATTTCATTAGCTCTGAGGGCGGTATGCATACATTCTGGGGCTGTATCCAACAGATGGTATTGTAAGTAAGTCACATACTGTATGCTCTTTGTAGCATTGCAGTACATTTGCTTTTTTTAAAACTGTGTACGGTTGTCTACTGTGGTCCTGATGGTGATGTGTGAAAGTTGTTTTTAGTGTTTATGTGAAGGAATGTCCAGTCAGCCAGGTTTTAGTTGTGCTTATATTAATATTGTAACATGTTTTTGCTGCAGCTGCTGTGATGTGATTGTAAAGTCTGATAACAGATGTATTTGTATCACAACTGTCCTCATTTAAAGATATTGCCGTTCATAGAAAATGACTTCTTATAATAAACTGAAGACACACGTTAGATGTTTGGCACAGCTCAGAGCAAAAATCACTTTTATTAATGTGGAAAATGTTTCACTTTTTTCTTTAAAAAACACGGCACATTTCAAGCTACACTTTATCTATAACTTAACCAAAAGTCACAACCATTGCAGAAACACCATCGTAAGAATGTCTTTCTCTCCGTCCGTCTGCGTCGCAAACCCGGTCTGCGACAGAAATCAAAACCCTGACGTCCCTGAGCAGAGAGAAACATCACACAATACTTAGAAAAATGATGTGATTTACAAGATGGCGATATGAAGGGTGTGGGGACCTGGAGTGTCAACGGCTGGGAAATGATAACAGTAAAACGGCACAGTGTTGTAGGTGTTCACATAAAAAAATAACAGTGATAATAAATTAAAGTTGAATGAAACATCTTCATTTGATACAAGGAAAACAGACACGACAGTGACAAAGGCTCTTCTCTATCATGGCACAGCAGGCATGGGTAGTCAGTCCAGGTTTTTGGCACAGCTGGGGATTTTATCTATGGTTTAGCTCCAATTACAAGACATTTAGTGGCAACTTTGACCTTAGCATTGTATTCCTAATAGAATCAATCCTTATTGACATCTTCAAAACTGTGCAAACAAAATAAATACGTTTTGTTATTCCTCCTTTTTTAAATTAAGCGCTTCATTTTGAAGGGAATAATTCAGATTTTTTTTTTTTTTCCTAAAACCTTTGACTCAATCAATACATTCTTGAATTTGAAATAATTGACCTTTTTTTAACATTTAACCATCAGGATATGAAATATTGTACAAAAACAATGTTAGTTGTAGTAGTTCGAGTCAACATACAGCACCGTTGCTGAAATGCTGTTTCCCAGTACATCCCAGTGGATCCAAAACCCCAGGTCGTCCTGCACAAGTATGGCGGACCAAGCATTGTGGACCAGAACCTCCAGACATGGACCACATGATCTAGGGACTCGTCTTTTTCCCAGTTTTCTGTCCTCGAGATCTTTTCTTCATCATTTACAGACGAGTGCAACAATTGTCACTTAAAAACGTCTCTCCTCTGCTTAGTCCTAAGTCCCTGCTTGTCCATGATGTTCCACAGCTTCCGCAGGTTCGACTGAGTGATGACATCGTCAGGTTTAAGCTGTAATGCACGTAGGTAGTTCGCCTCTGCTTCAGAAAGTTTTCCATTCAGGTGAAGGATGGCACCGAGGTTCATCAGAGCGGCTGGATACTGGAAGAGGGAAGAAATGGTTTAATTTGTAGGATTACTGTTTTTGTTCACATTAAGGGTTATGGTTGTCTTTAGTTTAGTTTTTCTAAGTGGTTTTGAGATTACTTGGAGATATACACTGTAATTTACAGACATAAACCTTAAAAGTAACTTATTAAAGGCTAAAAGTAAGACATCAATTTAACCATAGCTATAAATAATCCAAATTGTACGCACAGGTTTAACCAGAATGAGCTGAATTTGTTTCTTAAAAATAACGTAATACATTTACAAAATACCTAGGTCGTTGGGCAGATTATGAATTAAAACAATATGTACAAGTTAAGACAGAGACATAGATCAAGATTAGTCTATAAACTCAGTGTTTTCTGTATCAGTGTTCTGCATCAAAACCAAAAACAGCTAAATTGTCCTTTGGCGACCAAACATTTTTACTTCTATTTTCATTTCTTTTCTTTTCTTTTCATTTGACAAAATTTCCAGTCCACTAGTTGTTGCTGGGGGGCGTTAATTGGCGGTGCACAATCAACACCGTAGAATGACGTGAGCAGAGTTGCTCTTCGCCTTTGGTCTAAGCTTGTAAGTATTAAAAGTTTAATTTTATTTAGTTGATATTAAGCGGAAATGTGATGGGAACTGTTTGTAACTTGATTACCATAAACATTAATAACTTAAATTGTGTTAACATTTTATTCCAGTTAAAAACTGTTGACGTGTTTCCTAATTTGCATACAGCTTCACCGGCTGCTGTGAGTCACTGATTGGAGTCACTGCTGCTCTTCAACAGGTATTTTTTGTCGTTAGTTTTTGGTATTTCAATTCTTGTCGTTATGTAAGTTTAGTTTCACAATTAACCATGTAACAAAAGCGAACTAATTATTTAAATGCAAACACTTGCGGTAATTTCGTTTTAATTAAATGCAAACGATACACTTTTTGAACCATAAAAAAGTGTTCGATAAAAAGAGTGTTCGGTAAATTAGATTGACCGAAACTAAGAAAAAAACAAAAAACAATGTGCCTGAATTAATCTTACGTTTTACAAAAAGCAATTGGTACCACCAATGTGCCTGAATTAATCTTACGTTTTTTAGTATGGCGTAGAGTACGCGTTACATTATCCTACACCTTATACGTATGTGGCGTAGAGTACGCTTTACATTATCCTACACCTTATACGTATGTAAACAATTAACAAAAACAGCTTCAACCTTTTAATATTTAACCTACTAAAGTTGAATTTAGTAATTGACCCGTCAGACATTTTTCTGGAAGTAAATATTATGTAATTCAAATTAATACCAGCAGAGGGTGCACATCAACTACATCATTTTTGCTATTATAAACATGTTTAGGTTATGTTTACATCTTTTTAAGCTTTTTAAAGTAAAACATTTTCACTCAAAAATGAAAAATGACAATCAGTTCTACTCTTTATTTAAATTACTTTTCCTGCATTGGATGAAATGTCTTGTACAAAACAATCTTCTAACCTTGAAAGTTGCACCAGTTTGAGAGAAAATGAGAAACTCCAGGTCATAAACAAGACTCCCAACAAACCATAACTAACAAAGGCAGCCAGATCTCATCCTCAAAGTCATCAGCACATCACCCCTCCCTCCACCCCCCCAGGTTTGGCTGTTTTCCCAGTGTGGAGCAGGGTAGAGAGGGTGAGTGGGGGCTGTGGACTCTTTGCTTCATGACATACAGTTAGCAGCTTGGCAACAGCCTCGCGCATTTCTGCACAAACACAACTGCTCATTTCTTCCTAACCCTGTGGAGTCTTCGCCCTCCACAATCAGCCTGTGGAAACACTGCAGCATTAAAATACAAGCTGTGGGACTCAGTGGGACATGTTTGGAATACGTCCAGCCCTGGAAGTTGAAGAAATTAATGCTGTTTTACACTGTAGTAGGCCATAATTTTTAACTATACTCAACAGTGAACTGAAGCTGAATAAATCAAAGAGTATTTATTGTGACAATAAATATAACATCAGTATAAGGAGTCTTAAAATATGAAAACTGTACAGTACTACAGTATTAGTAGTGTGGTCACATGTTCTTTGTCTTCCTTTGTCATGTTCAGGTCACACAATACCACCACGGTGATGAAGTACATGCAGATTTCCTTCATGGTTTCCAGGTAAAATATTTTTTTATTTTTCAGAAACTTATTTAGGTGAATGTCTCTTAGCTCCTATGTTAGTCTCGGCTCCTATTTGGTTTATCATCTTATTTGGCTTTGGCTTGACTAAGCTCTGGTTTGTCCTAACTTGGGGCTATTTCAGATTAGCAAATTGGGTAAAATTTCTAGTTGTATTTGGCTAGCTGTTTTCAGCAAATTATTTATGCTACTTTGTTTCGAGTATCTTGGAGCTAATTTCTGGCTAGCCTTGTGGTTTTTAAAAAATATATACTTCTTAAATTCTTCAAACCTTTGTCTATTTTTTTAACTTTCATTTGTTTTATGTTGCTGATTTGAGTTATCTTTTGGTAAATTATACACTAGTTTACTGGGTTTTTTTTTCTTTTGAGATTTCTGTATTTTTATATTTATTTATTGTGACAATGGAGAACATTTGTCCTTGCATATCTTCTTAGCTAAATTAAAAAAATTGGGGGAAGGTCATGGTGACATAGACACAAAGCTTGAATATTTTTCATGCCTAGGAGAACCAAAGACACGAGTGCTGCTCTGTAGACGAAACGTTAATGTCATTAAACTGGCAAAAACTTCTCAAAAATATTGTCACTACTACAGCACTACATATATTGCAAAAAACTAGGGGCATAACAGTTGGTGGAACCAGATGTTTGTTGCAGCCACTGGGCACAGAGCCCAGAGGGAGGACATGATATGTTTGGGTGTTTGAGTTCATTTGACAGAACTACGGTGTGAAGCAGACAGACAGCGCTGGCTAACAGAGTGAGACAGTAAAACATTAATAACTCCGTAGAAGAACACGCAGATGAAAACCTAAACCTCACAGAGCAACATGACAAATGAGTGCAGGAAGCAGCTCCTCAGCCTCGTCGAACTACACACAGAGGTTACTGTGACTCTCAGACATGACTGATTAACACCAGTAATGAAATACGGCACAAAAGCCCTCCAACTTCCTCTGCAGCATCTGTTGACTCCCATTATATAAATGTCTCATAAAGCTGTGTTTCCTACTCCATGGTGACAGTTGAAGCTGCAAAACACTGAAGTTGTCTCTTTGGAGAGGATTTTCTGATTGTTTAAGCAGTTTGAAGTGTGGGCTCCAGCCGTGACCTCTGCACAGCTTCCATATTAAATTGAACCGTGGCCAGACATAACAGACCTACGACATAATGTCAGAATCTTGGTAAATATGTAGTAACACTGTAAATTTAGAGAATTTAGAGTGCAGACTACAGTGTGTATGTGTGTGTTTGAGTGCATTTCCATGTGTGTGAAGTGCTAACAGGCCCACCAGCTTACTTACATCTGGCCTGAGGCTGGCTGCTCGCTCGTACTGTTTCTCCGCTGCCTCGTTTCGACTGGCCTGTCTGGAGAACATGAACAACAAAAACAAAGTAAAGGAAACAAAAAAACATCACTTGATGACCCGCCCTATGGATTTTTACAAAGATATTAAAGATATATAGTTTGTAAATTAAAATATAACGCAGTACAGTAAAAGCAAAATTAGCAGGACATTGTTAAAAGCTGAGAAAAAAAATAGGAGACACTGTCTCACAGTCTTACTGTAGCTGTTTTAACTTCAGGTAAAGTAGCTAATTGCTATACAAAAATGCTCAATTTTGAAGATGGACCTGAGCCTGATGGAAGCTAAGCTTTTAGACTGTAATAATGTGTGCAGGTTGACATATTACCTGGCTCATTTCAACCTAACACTTGGCTATTTTTTTAACTTAACATAGTTAAGTTAAGTTGTCTCGTGGCCCATTTCCATTCATTTTGTCCAACTCTATCCTACAGTTGTGTAACCTCCAGCTTGGCTAACAATGTAATTAATCATGTAAAAAAAACAAAACGGTTTTATTTTAAATATATTTTAATTCCAGCTAATGAAAATAATGTGTTATGACTTATTGTTATTAATGTCCAAAACGGTTTTATTTTAAATATATTATTTTAATTCCAGCTAATGAAAATGATGTGTTATGACTTATTGTTATTAATGTTAAGCTTGGTTTGGTTTGGATTAGGTCCTATAGTCTCAGTAGTAAAAAGAAAAAATGTTATTACAGTTTCATAACAGAACAGACTGATTCACTCTGACGTTTTCACACGAACACCTGAGTCAAACCCAGCTCTCCCCCCTTTCTTTAACCCACTGTGGTGTTGCTGTTATAATAAAACCCTGGTGAGCAGTAATGACTTTCCCAGATATGTAGAGTGAGTAAGAATGACGGCACGTTACTGCAGTGTTTCCTCTCAGTTGTTGGGAGTAAAGGCCCAGTGTTTTCTGTTACCCTTTAAGACTCTTAAGCGCGTGTTCACGTGTTGGCCAAACTTTAAGAG